TTCCTCAGCAGGCAAGAGCATGGCAACAAGAATCGGATCATCACGCAAGGCAAAACACATTGAACTTAAACACTTGTTCATCCAAAAGCTGATTCTCAACGGCACTGTACGACTTCTCAAGATCCACGCCAACAACAACCCAGCTGACATACTAACTAAGTATGTCTCAACAGAAACATTACACCGACACCTACAGAGTGTGGGGCTCAACCCCAGAAACTCTTACCACTGACCTTGGCAACAGCAGAACAAACAGTTTCACCAATGCGCAGTTGGCTAATGCAACGTGTACTCTGTGCGAACACCGTGCGCGTACACACAAACACACCCGGCCGAATAGAGCCATGGACTGCGTGTTGATAGCAATAGCTATCAACACATCCCTTGTTTCGTTTCGTCAACTTTTTCATCAAGAATTCAACATGTAGTAATCCCCATGACTTAACTTTTGTATTGGAGGGGGGGTGTACCCCCATTTGATAATACATCAATTTGGGAAACCTGAGGAAATGTAAGGTTTCGGGTATGGTATATTTAACATGATCTTTTCCTCTGTTGACGGGTTCCTCCGCTTTACTCTTTCATTCTCTATCTTTTCCTCTTCTTTCATTATCTTTTGTTTCCTGTTTTCTCTTTTTGTTCCCTGTGGTCTTTTTGATCTTTTCCTCTGTTGCCAGGTTCCTCCGCTTTACTCTTTCATTCTCTATCTGTTCCTCTTCTTTCATTATCTTTTGTTTCCTGTTTTCTCTTTTTGTTCCCTGTAGTCGTTTTATGTCTTTTTAACCCCTTTTCTCTTTCCATTTCATTCCATTATTTTCCTCTCAGCCTCTTTTGTTTCTCTATGTTTCTCTATGTTTCTCTATGTTTCTCTATGTTACTCTATCCTCTCTGCTCTCTCTGCTCTGCTCTGCTCTGCTCTGCTCTGCTCTGCTCTGCTCTGCTCTCTATCTCTCTCTCTCTCCCTCCTCTACTCTACTATTCTTTCTCCTCGTTTTCTATTCTAGGTTGCCGGGTTGCCGGGTTGCCGGGTCGCCGGGTTGCCGGGTCGCCGGGTCGCCGGGTCGCCTTGTTGCCGGGTTGCCGGGTACCACTGCTTCTCTTCCCTCAAGCCTTCCGCTCCGTCTCGGGCTCTGTGCTCTGGAAGCAACAAGAATCTACTGTCAATCTCCCAGACGGAAGTGGGAATCAGCTCTTCACCATTCAAAGTCTCATCCTGCAGTCAAAAGAGATAGTGTCAGAGAAGAGAGAGTCAGAGAAGAAAGAAGATCCAAGTCGTCAAGAAAGCGGGGAAGTGATCCGAATTCAGAGATGCATGATGATGCAGCTTCTTTCAACCCTAGCCACATTGCTTCCGCCTTCCCTCGGGTTCGGTACTTGGCCCGGATCCTGATTGCCATATCAGAAAGTAGTGAAGGGCGTGCAAGGCACAGCCCCCTTTGGTGTCCCTTCTGAAAGGTGAGCTACAAGGCGCCCGGGACGTCAGTACCTGTGCGAATGACAATGGTTTTCTCCTACCAAGATCATCCTTGAATTGAATCAATTGACAATGGCTTTCTCCGACAGGGATGATGATAGAATCCTAAATCAATTGCCAATGTCCTTCTATCTGGGCAAATCCCACAGAGACTATCCTTGAATGCTGTTAGTCCTTCTATGGTGTCTCCCACAAGGACCATCCTTGAATGCTAGATGACATAGAATGACTGCCTTTAGTTATGGACTAGCTTTGCCTTGGCTAAATCCTGAGGATTTAAACGAGGCAGAGGGAAATATGGCGAGGCAACCTGTGTTGACTTGCTGAAAAGAGGCCTGCCTTGTTTAAATCATGCAAACTTTTCGCCTCAAAGTCTGGAATTCGCGGGGGGAAAAGTTTGCCTCGTTTAAATCCTGAGGATTTAAGCAAGGCAGGCCTCTTTTCAGCAAGTCGACACAGGTTGCCTCGCCATATTTCCCTCTGCCTCGTTTAAATCCTCAGGATTTAGCCAAGGCAAAGCTAGTCCATAACTAAAGGCAGTCATTTAATGTCATCTAGCATTCAAGGATGGTCCTTGTGGGAGACACCATAGAAGGACATTGTCGCACCCGCCGAAAGAGTGGACATATATATATATTATCATCCTGGACCAGGCCATCATACAAAGCAATCTTCTTGAATTGATCTTCGCTCAAACGATAACGTTTGTTTGCTCGGGCATCTTCATGCCTGAGTGATATGCTCAAAGGCATCTGAAATGAGAGTCAGCACATCAAAGCTCACATACGTAGTCTTTCACATGTCTTTGCTGCAAGTTGCCTGGGGCCTGACTCTTGTGGCACAGGTATGCCAAAAAACATTTGATTACATCATCAGAGTTCATACATGTGCTTCTACATGCCTTTGCTACAAAGTTGCCTGGGGGGAACCCTGTTCGGGGCCTGAAGTTCGGGGCCCGACTCTTGTGGCATAGGTATGGAATAAGGACACGCTGGATTGAAACCCATGTTTGCCCCCTTTTGCTGCTCTGGGATGAAGCGCGAAACCCTATCATTTAACCATACTTAGCCCTACTTAATAATTTTAATGTATTACCACCCTCCCCCTCTAAAAGTAGAGTTGTCCATGGGGATATGTAGTATTTCAAATTTCTTTTGTTTGGATTTCGTTCTCAACATGGTGGCCAACATGATGAAGATGAATTCCCAACATGATGTGCAAGACTCAACATGTTTCAACTGAATTTGTTGTGCAAGTACTGTTGCTCGCAGCCATTCTGGGACCAACACTCAGACCAAAGATAGCGGCAAGAGACATCAAGATTTCAGAAATGGCCGCAACACCTTTGGTCAACATGAGACAGTCCGAAGGTCCACGAAATTTTCCGGCCAAGCTGGCAATAACGTTGCCAGACATGGGCATCATCATCAAGGAAGTAGTGGTCAACAGTGCCACCGCCAATCCGACCAACATGACCCCGGATGAGTACCACCAGCACAGTGTTGACAACAACTGGTCAACATGGTGGACCATGCTCACCGAAGAGGAATACATCAGCTTGCTGCCAACAACACCCGAGACCAACAAGATGCTGGCAACAATTCCAGGAGCACTCAGAATGCCGGCGTTTGACAAAGTGCTGTTTGCGACATCACCTCAGATGGCAACAGCAACGATGATCTACCACCTGACGGAATTCCACACAGTGAGCCAGAAGTCAACATGGATCCTGATGGCATACCAACAGGATTTTCAACAAGGGATGCTGAGGAATGCCAACAGCGTCACAAACCTGTCGCCAGAGGATTCAACAACCCACAGCTCCAGGTGGAGTACAACAAGGTGCTGAGGTTCAACACCTTTGAACTGGCTTCCCCCAAGTGTGGGCCTTGACCACAGAGGACCAACAGCCACTCCTGAACACCATCCACAAATCGTTGAGCTGGGTCAGCAACGTGATTTGGACATTCAACATGCCAAGTCAGTTGGCACAGGTGGACACAGTGAAGGACAGCATGTGGCCGGCAGTGGTCCAAGCTATGAGCTACAGCGGGTGCCAAGCTCTCGACAGTATCCCCCCGGAGGTCAACACGAAGTTGAAGTTGATGCTTCAACAGGTGCACCCACTTAGGGAAAAGAACAACATGATGAACAGCAGCACCATCGCATATCATGGGGCCAAGACCGTGGAGAGAATACGAGGAAGCCCATTCTTGGTGGAATGGTTCAACACGGTGAAGGAGGACATGTACAACCACTACATCCTCTCCACCAACAAGTACCGGGTGCGATACATGGCAGGCAATGTGAAGCCTGATGATGACGACGAGGATGACAACATGGACGAGTCGCCAGGCAACAACACAGATCTGGAGGGCTGAAATGGCAACAATGCCACAACATGGAGGAAGCTCTGACCTCCAAGTGCCAAAAGGCACCAAACGTTAACAGAGCTTGAGCAGATATCCAACACCTGGGTGCCTTGACCAACATCTGTACACTGGCATATCATTGTGTCCAGACAACAGGTTTAGTCCGTGCAACAGTTTGTAAAGTGTACAGTTTGGAATCTCCAACATATTGCCAACGTAATGTTGTTTTGTCTCAACATGTGAATGGACCCTCAACAACTCTGAATGGTATCAACATCGTTGAAATGATGCCTGCAGCACAAGGCTGTGCAACAGGCAAGAGGGCGTGTTAGAAGTCAACCTGTACAGTGTCAACATATTCATGCATTGGGTCAAGGCCTTGAGCCGTTGCCCAACAATACAGAGAGTGCAACAGCGTGTCTGAACAAAAGCTGCAGCTGAGTCAACAGGGTTGACAACACAACTTGCACCAGCATTGAACTTTACGGCTGGTTGGTTGGTTGGTTGGTTGTGGTTGTGGTTGTGGTTGTGGTTGTGGTTGTGGTTGTGGTGGTGGTGGTGGTGGTTGTTGTTGTTGTTTATGTACGACCCATTGTCGCATTTTTGGAATTGTGCGTTAGGGAGAAGCCCCGTTCGGGTTTTCGTTGAGCTGACTGCATCAAAGTCGGATGGACACGATCGAATGACAAATATGCCAAGCGGACTACCTGAACAGGGAACTGATTGGGGTCAGATGACACTTTAGTGAATCCCAGTCCAAGTGCATGGGCTATTGCTGCTCAATTGCTGCTCTTTTTTAGCAGCAACGCCGGGTCACTTCCAGGTTCTCTACCGCATCCCGAGCTGAGGAACCTCACAACTCATTTCTCAACAGCCCTTCAGCCATGGATGCTTGGCGCAGTGGGTCGTCTAGCAGGATCGCTCGCCAACTGTCTCACGTGTCTTTATACTAAGTTTTTGAAGTCCAGTGCAGGATGTTTGACTGGCATTGAGTTCTAAAGCACCCTTGTGATTGTGCAAAGTTGCTTTTGAACCTTTTAACTGATTGAGAGCCCCACTGGCCAATCCCAAAGAGAGAGAGTAAGACCAAGACTGAATTGCTAGCAGACAAATGCAGACGAGATCCGCCTCAGGAAGACATTCTTTGTCGTGCGATGGCCAGAGAATACCCAGGAGGCCAAAGAGCGGTTGAAGCGAAACCTACTCCATTTCCAGGTGGCCCGCCTGAGCCGCACATAGGCCATCGAAGATATCGAAGTGCGGAGGTATCAGGCAAAGGGTGAGAAAACTGAAAAGCCTTTAACCAAAACCCTTTCAGCAACAACCATGACATATATCACAATATCAATAACAAGTTGACAATGCTTTCCTTCCCTGGCCATTCCCACCGGTCATCACCGAATGTATATGCGGCCAAGATGGCCAAGCTCTGAGGCCAACTATTTGGCAATGACAGGGCTGATGCTAGTGGTGTTGCAGCTGGACAATCTGCCTCCCGCCATGCAATCATTGGAGATGGTGATGATGAGGAATATGCGGAAGAAGAAAATGATGAAGAAGAAGATGATGATGATGATGACGATGATGATGGTGATGATGATGGTGATGACGGTGATGATGATGGATGATGATGGATGATGATGATGATGATGAGGAGGATGAGGATGAGGATGGTGATGATGATGGTGATGATGATGGTGATGATGATGATGATGATGACGTTGACGATGACGATGACGATGATGATGATGGTGATGATGATGATGACGACGATGACGATGACAATGACGATGATGATGATGGTGGTGGTGGTGGTGGTAGTGGTGGTGCTGATGATGCTGACATCCAGAACTGAGCTCACAGAGTTTTTTTCTCCTGAGGATGACCCCCAAAGAGATTGACATCCAATATCCCAAGATGCAATGCCTTCTGCAAGGTTGGGCCTCTGTGCCACGGTCTTGGTCGCGTTACTCTGGACGGTGGCACCACAAGTTGGCTCAGAAACGCTGTCCCCTGCAAAAGTGGGGCTGCTGGCTGCGCTATCTCTCATGGCAGCATCGCAGAATTTAGGGAGGACCATTCATTTGAGGAAGTGTTTTTGAATAAATTTTAGGATGTTTTAGGAATTTTCTGGATTCGTGTGTGTATGTGTGTCTCTCTCTCTCTCGCTCTCTGTTTTATTTTTATTTTTATTTTCTATGTGTTTTCATTGCTTTCATCCTTTTTTGTTTCCACGTTTTCTTGCTTTGCTTGTTTGTTTTTTTCTCGTGTTTTCCTAAATTTGTTCTTTGGCTTTCTGGTAGTTTCAAAGTCTGAAACATTGCAAATTGCATGCTCAAGGAACGCTTGATGTTTAGAATGTTGCAAATACATGCAATGGAATATGAAAGGTATTGAGTCTGAATTCCAAAATTTAAAATGCTGCAAATACGATGCAGTAAGACAGAAGAGTAGGGGAATTGACCTCAGATATGTTGCAAATACCAAAGATGCAAAAACAGGAGTACGATGGAATTCCGCAGTGCTGCAAATATTATGCAGAAAGATGCGGAAGTAAGGATTTCGAAGTCAAGTATGATGCAAATACCTTTGAGGATGCTGCAAAATCTGGAAGATGAACGGTTTGAAGTCCAAAACGGTGCAAATACCACCAGAACGACAAAAAGTTGGAATTTGAACTTGCCATGTTGCAAATACCGTTCAAATATGAGGCACAAGGCTAGGCCAACAACCACGACTACAACTACTACAAGGAGAACACGAATAGAAATATTTAAATAAATGACAAGAGGAACAACAAGAACAGCAAGAACAATAGGAACAGCAAGAGCAACAAGAACGAAAACAAGAACATCATCAACAACAATGGCAACAACAGTAATAGCAACAGCAACAGCAACAACAACAAAATAAGAAACATAATCCCAAGTGTAGGGAAGAACAACACATTTTTCCGTGTTATTGTACTGTACTTGAATCATCATCGAAAGTAAGGCGCTGCACCTTGCTCCCATGCCCACATCAAAGTGTGTCTATTTTGTTGCTTCCTGTTTCAAATTTTTCATTCGTTGCTTCCTATGTTGATCATGTTCATTCCTGTTCCCATCTTGATCTTTTCAGTTTTTGTTTGATGTAAATACCACAGGATTCACAAAGGCCAAATGAGATGCAAACGAAGAGGCTCACACGTTAACATGTCACAATGCGTCCAAGATCATTGAAACTGGAAGGTCGGAACTCCAATTCACACCCACATGTGATGAAAGGCTGTATAAGGAGATATTTGATGTGATTCATTTTGACATGCCAAGATCAGAAGAAAGGAGTCCAAATTTATCCAAATTTAAGAATCTGACCAGTGGCATGTGGCACTGAGGTATTGTATTTGGCTGCTGGGACCCTGTGACTTGGTCCGCAAAACAGTTGCCAATACTGTCACCAACAAGTGCGCGTCACATCACATCACGTCACTGTAGCGAAGGTGTTCGCTGAGGGGGCCAGACTTGACTTGGAATTGGAAGATGTTTGAGAGTCTGGATGAATCTGGATGAGCCTGGTGCAACTGGCAAGGCTTCTGAACATGGCATTCATTGGGATTCTTTGTAGCGGTTTGCACGCCGTGCTCCACCCGGGTTCCGTGGAGGCGGTTGCAGGGTGTTGAAGTTTGCATTCGAAAATCTTAGTTCTGCGCTGCAGATGTTGGATGATGTTGGGGTAATTCAGTCGATTTCCGGATGCATCCGGTTTTATCCATGTTCACTCCGACATTCGCCTTCCGGGTTGGTCTTACAGACCTGAGTTTGCCTGATGTATGTACAACAATTCAGTTCCAAACTCGAAACCAGTACCCCTGCCTGTATTGCGTGGTAACTGTATTTCGGGGATCGCCATTGTATACCCAACTCCGACAGCTTGCAGGTTGGGAATTTTGAGCTGATTGATGAGGCGCATGGTACAATCCAAAGTTGTCATTGTGTTTCCTTACAGTACCATTTGACGACATCATTTGACATCATTTGGCCTCATTTGACATTATTTGACCCTAGGCCCTAGACAGCTCTCATAACCTACATAGATTGAATAAAGCTGCGGTCGTGTCTAATCCAAATGTGGACTGCAAGGTTACCCGGGAAGTTTTGGAATGTAAGATTTGGATACATGCATAGTGATGGAATTGTACGGTCGCAGCAGTTGGGTGGCTTTGCGCAGGATGAGCTTTAAATGACGACTGAAACAAAGACGCAGAATCGGCGCGAACGTCGTCAAAAGTCTGCCATTTAGGTCAAAGATTGCCCGCGGCGTTTGCATTTCGGATATTTAGGTGCTATACTGTAGTGCGGGCTTTGAAACCCTCTGCCGGAGTGCAATGCCATCATACTTTGAACGGGAAGACTGGGACCTGCAACTCCAGATGCGATACACAGGTTTGGCACATCTTGAAAAAGTTGACAAACTGAGCTGTCGGAGATTCGTAGGCTCTTGATGAGTGTAGCATGCTACCCACAGGGCCCCCGCAGGCCCCTGATCTCTCACCGCCGTCTTTGTGCTCAAAAGCTTGCGCATGATCTGATTGTTACCTTTCCGGCACTAATGAGACCGGATGCTCCTTGGGCTTGAAGAAACGGTGATTGCAAGGTGGTCGTGAAGAAAGTACAGGATGATGATTTTACGGGAACTCTCGAGAGGATGAAATGTGAATGTTGACTGTCGCATCAGCCTCTGCATCTATTTGCTGGAACACGATGCAATATGATCCACGCATTCATTCTTTTGGCATTTTCTTGCCGAATTGTTGGGGAGGTGTGGGCGGTTAATCGGCAGGTTGCTCCCAGATACGAGCCAAATTGTCGATGCACTCAGGTGGATTTTCCAGAGTCAGACTCCCTGTTGGAAAACGTGCTTTGGCTCCATGACAATCCATGAAACATCATGAAACAGTCTTCGACCTCGGCGTTGCCCAGTTAATACGCCCACGTTGTATCGATGACGTCTTGGGTTTTGATGGAAGGAAGACATCCCAGTGACAAGAGAATTGTAGCATCGCAAATTTCTGATCAGCACACGCGACCAGAATGGGACACACAAGTCGATGGGTTCACCCGCATGTAGAATCGTGATGAATCGTGCGTATATAAGTTTCAACCGCAAAGTGTCGTTACCGGCGGTATATACATGTATATATAGCATGTTTATTGAGCGCATTTTGTTTTCTTGTAGAAACCTCACTCCCACATCCTAAGCTATATCTGATCGATCAAGAATGATCAAGAATCAAGATGACATGACAGATGTGGCAAATAACATGATGGCCCAAGAAATTCCAAAGGTGGCATCGAAGCACTGCAATGCTGCAGCGGGCCAGCCAAGGCCGCTCGGGCTCGCGGCTCAGAGATAGACCGCCACCAAGAGGACTGTGCTTTGGCAGCGGCGCACAGAGTTTGTCTCTCGAAAAGGCTCAAGCGTTTTTGAGTCTCAGACAGTCCCCAGGTTTGATGTTTTTTGCTCAAAAAATGATTTATATATTGGTATTTATTTACATATATACTTATTTATTTGTTTGTTTATTTATTTATTTATTTATATTGTTTGACATGCTACAGTTGGGCCGAACTTGGTGAGATAAAGGGAACCTATTCGTCGGACGCACAGAACCAGTGCTCGAGTGGTGTTTTGATTGTCTTGCCACTTGTGGCGATTTTTAGGAGCCCGAATCTGTGGTGGAAGCGGAGTTCATGGATCCAGCTGTGCAAATAGAACGCGAGGCCGGTATAGGTCGGTCTAGGAGTCTAGCCAGCCAGTCCCTTTCAAATATTTGAAAGGGAGATCGCTGTCAAGGATCTGAAAATGGAGGGGTGCGGGACTGAAATAACATCGGAAAGGAGCATGAATCCATATGATACCAAATCTTCAATAAATTATATACACGAAGTTCAAACGCAAATCCGCACGCACATGCATGCCCCCAGTTCTCCTGTCCTATGTCGAAAAGAGATCAATCTAATTCGGATTTTGCAGGGCTTCTTTTATCTTTTCGCCATCAAGGACTAGCCCCATTGTTAAGATTTGAGCCAGAGACCACAAACCGATCGCCAGGATCCGTTTGATCATCTCCCCCGATCTCTTGACGAAGACCAGGAAGAACCTTTGCAACTGCCTCTTTGTGGTCCGGAAGGTCTTGCAAGCATGAGGCCTGCGTGGAAGGTAGTGACAGGTAGTGTAAAACGATGAGGATTTTGACATATTTTGACTGTCCTGAAAGATGTCCTGGCACATCCTGGCATTTTAGCTGTAGTTGACTTGGATGAAATATAATCAAATATGAGCGTGGAGATGCTTGGAGTACGAGTTGCAATTATTGTACTCTCATGACATACACGCACTCACACACGCACACATATAATATCTATCTATCTAATCTAACCTAATCTAATCCAATCTATATAATCTAATCTAATCTAATCTAATTCCAATCTAATCTAAATCTAAATCTAAATCTAAATCTAATCTAATCCAATCCAATCCACTCCAATCCATCTATCCATCTATCCATCTATCCATCTATCCATCTATCCATCTATCCATCTATCCATCTATCCATCTATCCATCTATCCATCTATCTATCTCTCTATCTCTATCTCTATCTCTATCTATCAAATTAATCTATGTATCAAATTAATCTATCTACCAAATTAACCTATCTATCTATCTATCTACCTATCTATCTATCTTTCTTTCTCTATCTTTCTCTATCTTTCTCTATCTTTCTCTATCTTTCTCTATCTTTCTCTATCTTTCTCTATCTTTCTCTATCTTTCTCTATCTTTCTCTATCTTTCTCTATCTTTCTCTATGTTTCTCTATCTTTCTCTATCTTTATCTATCGATCTATCTGTCTATCTATCGATCTATCTATCTATCTGTCTATCTATCTATCTATCTATCTGCCTCTATATGTATATATACATGTACACTATATGCATATATTATTACAGTACATGAGATCTTTGTCAAGGTTCATGAGGCAACCTTGCCTGATTAGAACTCAAACAGGATCAAACAACATCTTCCAAGCGAAACCTATGCACTACTGTAGCTGTAGTCTGATTTTCTGTGGGTGCCTTTCTGGACTTGCAATACCTTGCAACTCTGGAGAAGCAGCACCTCGTCTTCAAAAATTTGCAAGGCCCTCAGCTGAACCCTCAGCATGCTCCACTTCTGCTCGAACATCTCCGATTTGTGCTTTGAGATGTGGATGTGTTTCCCGGCAGCATGAAGCTGCATGTATATATATATATATATCTCTCTCTCTCTCTCTCCAAAATGAGCATTGTCAACATGGTTGAAGATCGAAGAGTCATGGATCCTTGATTTTCCACTCTCTGCACGCTGCACGGTAGGCCCTGCAGTAGAGGCAAATTCCAGAGGTGTTCATGCCGTTTTTCACGCGTAACCCTGGCAAACTACAATTTCTTGTTGGTGTTGTGCTAGCTTTGATGTGTCAATTCGGGTGCTGTACAGTTCGTGGGAGATTTGCAGAGATGCTTGAATTGGTCAGGGGACATAGCCTGATTGCTGTAAAAGAATCTGAAAGGTTGCAGTCCAGGACACCTCAAATTTGTTGAGTCTAAAATGCGCAAGGTGAGGGTCCGTCAAGTTCTCAACGTAGTAAGCAAATACACAACTGGATGCAGCCACAAAAACAGAGGCGCCGAGCCACTCAAATTCTGGTAGAATGATGTGCGATGCTTTCCTACACCGTGCCTGCGTTGTACCAGTAATTATCGGATACTATCAGAAACATCTTTGAAGTATGAAGCAGAAACCAGCACTGTTCCCATATGCTGTCTATGCCACTGTCAAAGCACGTGAATTAAGAATTGCAATTGTGGGACCCACACCAGGAACAATGGGAGACAGCAAACAACGCTGAAATCTTGGTTTCAATGGCGTCTCGTGTTGTGGTCCATTTTTGGTCCATGATAGATTGACAGATCAGACCGAACATGAGTCAGCCTGAAACACATCACGTTATAACAGGTCTGTCACACACACACATGCACATGTCATGGCTACTAATGCTTCAAACAAACACACACACATACATATATATATATATACACATACATGAAGCGATTCGCAGAATCGGAATCATTCAACCTATAGCCTCATGTGCGCATAGTGTGCGCACATACAGTCATGCACACAGAAAAGCTTATGCACAAGTGTAATACATCCGCACCGAATGTCATATATCATATCCACTCTTTCTTTTCCAATTTTGAATGCATACAACATTTATTTCTTCCTGTGTTCATAGGTAAGCACACACACACACACACATATATATATATATATACACACTGCATATACACACCCTGCATATACATACACACACGCACACATGTTAATAATATGCGCACAGTTCGGTATGGCTATGGTAATTTGAAATTCCCCCGGCTCTTGGCCCTTTGTGGTTAAGTGCCCCCAAGACTCTGTGTTACTTCACAGAGTTTCAATGAAAGACAGTCCAACCCTCAGACGCCAATTCCAAGGAAGGGATTCACTCAGTGACTTGGACAGACAATGAGGGCTGAGATTCTGGATGGGGTCCTCCATCAATGTCCCTGAAGCTTCTAGCGCAAGATAGTTCCACAACACTGAGCCACAAGCTTCACAGGAAAACCGTGCAGCTTTGAAACTTATTGATCCGAAGACTGACCAATTCTCACTGCCTCAAATCAGGAGAGCCAAGCATCATAGTTGAGAATCATATGCAACTCTTTCAAGGTTGATGACATTTCCATACCATTCTGCACCACATGACCCACCCTGAGGAAGGCGATGCCTTGCAAACTGCTGAGGCTGCAGAGGTTCTGAATCTTGGGGGTTGAGATGTTTTGAGTGGTTCCAGATGGTTCTGGCTGGTTCCGGGTCATGGCATCCAGGGGGCTTAGTTCCATGGTGAGAGCATGACCTGTCAAGTTGGACTCTCGTGATAGGATTGGGTGCTATCAATCCATATCAGTCTTGACTCAACTGAATACGCAGGTTCAGGTTGAACCTCGAGAAGAAGTTCCGGAATCCGGTCTTCTCAGCGACTTGCTTCCTCATCCTGGTCAATCTGATCAGGAGAATGGTAAACCTGGATGGAAGACAGGACCCATCAAGTCTCCTAGCATCGTGTAGCATCCTAGCATCCACAACTTTGGTCACAGGAGTAATAAGTGGTGCATTGTATCATATTTGGTTGCAAGTGATGTGAAGCGACCTTCGCAAAGCATAGTCCGACATCGCTGGTGAAGCGCCAAGAGTCCAAGGCAACACGGTGGAGCCTCACACCCCGCGGCAGTTGGCTGCCTGGAAAAAAGCGGGGGCACAACAGGCGGAACTGGAGAAAGCAAAGCTGCGCAAATTCCAGGTGCCACATGGCATGGTATGGCATGGTATGGCATGGTATGGCATGCTACATCTGGGAGGGCCAAAGGAATTCGATATATGTATAATATATATATTATACTGTATATATATATATCAATGTAAATGAATAGATATAGATAGATAGATATATATATATATGTATAATATACTAGTACAGTCTATAATCCATGCTTCTCATTTTCACCTGAATGCTGTTGAAGTGACTTCAAAATGCAGCTGGCAACTGACATGTGGATGGTCCTTTCAAGCTGTACGTTTTGTTTCTGCAGCTCATCAGAGCATAGAATAGTTGGCTGCGAGCCAAAAAGCCATAGTATGACATCTAGGCAGGTGATGGTGGGGTGTGACGGCAATTGTGTTTAGGTTCAATTTCTGATAAATCTGTTCAGGTCGACCGGTCATCATGCAGTGTCCCGGAAGACTGTTGCCTGTAGGAGACCGTTTGGCCAGTAGTGACATGTAGTGACATAGTCTTGTACCAGTTGCGTTTTTGGTCACTAGTATATTTAGACGTTGACAATTTTAGCCATTCAATGCCCTTCAAACCAGCTTCTCCACTTGACAGAGATGCCCAGAAGAAAAAGTGGCCGAGACATGTCGAGACATCAATGCCACTGAATGCCCCAAGTCTTTCATTTTTGTTCATGGTTCTAGAAGGCAAGAAACGCAAGAAAAGCATTTGCCCATGGCACCCAGTTTCATAGAGAGCGTATTGCAGCAACAGTTGAGAGTTTGAGTTGACACCTGACCCGCACCTTCTCCGCAACAGATTGACATCGCAAAGAAAGGGCAAAAGCTGGGCATACGCTACGATGATTCCGATGGAACGGGTTTGGTCATCAAGATCATCAACCCTGGTGTCTTCTATGCCACTGGTTCGAGAAGTCCTCTTTGGTCAATGCATGCGAGTCTTCATTTTGGTGATAACAAAAGTACGGCAATGCGGCTGTTGTATTTATCATATGGAAATGCAGTTGTTGCAATCTTGCGCTCAAAGTATGTTCTTTCCTCGCAACTGTGCAACCGCATATTCCCAAGACAGGCAGGCAACCCGAACAACAATTCTCAGCAGCTGGCCAGTTTCACTAGAGTCACTAGAGATTGTGCGCAGAAAGAAAGGACAGCATCATGGAGCAAAATTCAGATAGATGGGTGCCTTGCCTTGGACTTGGTGATTTTCCGTCTCTTGATTCAGAGATGTTCAGAAGTCCTGCCAGATGAACCAGTTTGTGTTGATTCATGCTTCCAGTCTTCAGTGGTCAGTTGTAGTCCCGAATCCGGAGAATGCTTTTGGTTCATTATCCACGAGGTTCTGTGAGACATATTAGTAATTTGAGCAGTATCAGTGCCTGCCACGAGAAATTATGACTCTGGTGCAGCGGAGGTAATGCCTGATGATCGCATTGTTGTCACTTGGAAGAAAGGAATTCGAAAAGCATCTCTAGATATTATGGTCCGTGAGGTTGCTTGAATAAGATCAAATGAACAAAAATGATGACTTCACTTCAAGTTGCGCATACAGTACATATATATATACATATGTGTGTGTATGTGTGTGAGAGTGTGTGTGTGTCAATCTATATTATATATATATATCATTATAGATGTATATTGACTAGACGTTTCATGGGAAGCAACTAGTTGTCAGTCAGACTAGCTCGTCGTGGCAGTATCACGTGGTGGTTGCAACGAGTCACCACAATCATCCACAATCACTTGGTTATGTCAGCTATTGTCAGCTTCACTTCCAGCAGGTGGGCCTTTCATCATTCTGCGCATTCTAAATGTGCCCCAAAGGGAATATAAGGGAATACTGAAGCCATTTGAAGCCGCTGGCAATGGTCCAGGCACCGGACGAGCCATATCCAAGAACTAGGATTCTCACGATGTCAGGCAGATAGGTACACTAGACGCTGTAGATTAATTAGATAGAATAGACAATGATAGAAACTTGTCGATAGAATTTATTTTATTTTTATATATAGATGAAACAAATTTGGATAGATACGTGCAGTATCATGCTCCGGGTCGACGCGGATTTTCTGACATAAATCTTCGCGGGACGTCAAATTCAAAAGCTTAAGTTACTTGCTTTAAAGAAATGTGATTAGACATGATTAGGCAGAAACCGCGCGAAATCCTACAGTAGTACTATGTGGATCTATGTGGATACTATGTTCATGCTGTGTAGATATTATATATATGATTTCATTGTGATTTTATTGTAGTTCTCTTAAATTACTTATATAAATACATATAAATACTTTTACTTTCTTGCAGTCTTACCTGTGCAACAGAAGATCCGGTGCATCATGGTGCCACCTTGTCAAGGAAGTGAATGGCGTGAGAGGAAAATCAGAATGGCTGGAGGAGTCACTTGGCGTTGTACATTTTTTTAAAAAACATATATGTTTTTTCACTTTCAATGTTGGATGCCATGAGGTTGCTCATGTTACGCCCATATTGCTGGCGCGCGCGCACAATACACAGTACAGTACATCTCTCCAGGGTCTACTAGATTACTAGGTCTCCCTCGTGTGTGTTTTTTGCATTTGAGGCAGTGTATGAAAGCCGATGCCACTTGGAATGCATTTACTTCTATGACAAAATATCCGATATGCGTTGGTCGCTCTAGCCCGGTTGTGCGTGACTGATCTGACTGTGTTTGTTTAGCAGTTCAAAAAGCTCTGGTTTTTCAAGAGAATTTCCGTCGTGAGATTTCCAGTGCAACGCAGCTCGACTGCCAGGTTCTGAGCATGAAGGTAGAGCGGCTCTTACCACCTCTGGGTGTGCGGATCTTCTGCAGAAGCCAGGATCCGACGGTGAAGATCCATGCCTATGACCTGTAGCTCGGCTGAAAATGAACAGGATGAAACAGCTGCAGTTGTGATCAGCTGGGTGGGAGCCACATGATATCCTCGTCCGGCGGAGTGACAATGGGCTTAGATGCCGAAGTCCAATGATGCCACCAGCAAGCGGCGTGCTGTTTTCAAGACTTTCCAGGTGGCCAGGCAGAAACGGTCCAGTTTCAATGCTTTCCCATTTCAGCAGTTTGATGCACCTGTCCACTGCGTCCCCAAGGTTTGGACATGGCAGAGGGCCTTTAGCCTGTGTGGCGCGCAATTTTGCTGCAAAAGGGCTTGGGCCTATACAATTTCAGGGCGATGGCAATCATGTATGTATATATATATATATAAATGTACACACACACATATATATATATATATATATGATGGGTTGCATATCAGATGATATGACAGTGCTGTTGGATGCAGTCGGCTGAAAAGGTTTCCAAGAGAACCTCACGATTCAGTAGTGATTCTCTGTGCTCACTGCGCGACAGAAGCTATGCAGATATTCCATGCATTTCCATGCTATGCCCATCTCAGGTACCTTGAATGGCATGAGCACTCGCTACGGGCTTTTTCACACAGGCAATCTTGGCCTGGCGGTTTCTCGGGGTTCTCGGGACTGGGCGATGGGCTTTTGAGGGTTTTTGGTGACTTGCTGTGATCTTCATCATTTGCATTTCCTAACGGTTGGCCACTGATTCAGAACTCATGGAGCTTTTGCCACGGGCCTCAGGTGTTGAAGTCTATGGCTGCGAGTGGTTTTTTGGTGCCTCTGCTGAGGGCTTATTCCATGGTGTCAACTGCAATGAAGCAAAACAACATGCTCAACACCGCTATCGAACCTCTGCACCTTGGATGGATTGGGCAACTGAATGCAACTGATGTATTTGCTGCACCGCTTGCCGGATGACTTTCACCAATGGCAGTGGGAGCTTGCAGCCCTCCATTCCTGAGTGCTCCAAAGACCGCTAAACCGCTAAACCGTTGGCTAAAACCCTTTCAACATCCTTCAGCTACATGCTCCCTTGATAGTGATAGTGCTCCTTCTTTACGCGGGATGATCAGTTGGATCTGCTTATTGTGCAAGTTGGAAAGACGAGCCTTCACAAAGCTCCTGGGATTCTGGGAGTTTTAAACGATTTTAGATTTACTCGTCGTAGCAAAATGTAGAACCTTTATCGTCTTGCTTGGTGAGAATGGCAGCCCTCCAGAAAGCTACAAACTACACAGACGGAAAGAAAATGAAAGAAATCACTACTTTCCACATAGCTATATATATATATTATGTGCATTGGTTTGCTACAGGGTCTGCAGGATTTCCCATTGCTGCTACAGACTTCCGAGCCTTACCTCATAAATGATAATCGGTTCGGTTTGTTGATAACACATTTTATATCATTGACAGTCATCATTTCGCTATGTTTTGCTATGGAAGGGAAGATGGCAGTGGTGGATGCAACCCTTCCTCCTTCCAGAGGTTGTCTTGGGCGCAACAGCGATGTCCCAAGATGATTTCGAAGAACTGATGCCGTCACGTGGCGAAATGATGCGAAATGTGATGAAATATGGCAAAATATGGCGAACTGAAATGAAAGCAATGCATTTACTGGATCAAATTGGATCAATGTCATATAATTTCTAGATGGCATTGTGTTGGCTGCTATGGGTTGACGCTTTGCGTTGCTGTTGCAACATGTCGCAATCGCAATTTGGGGCCACTATTTCGGCCCTAGAGCTGCTTTCAAGAAAGAAGGGTCCCTGCTCTGAAATTTATAGCATAGTGACCTTGAAGTCTCTGTGGACTTGTGGACGCTTGTCCAACAACGAATACATTAAATTGCTATATGGATCTATATGGCTATGTGATGCCATATGTGTTATCATAGTAAAATCTCTCACACCTTCAACCTGCCATAGCTGGGTGGCCTTGCTGGCTGCCTGCCCTGTCATGAGGCTTCTTCGAATGAAGTGGCCTGCATGGTCATACCATCCAATCTCCAGGTGCTCGATTTGTGGGAGAAAGAAGAGAAATGGCATCCCTACCCCCTTAACCTACTGTAGATTTTTTTGGAGACCTTACAAAATGCAACTTGCATTTTTCGGGCTGTTTTTATGGGGTGGGTCAATTGCAACTTAAAAACTGTAAGGTAGCAAAAATCAATCAATATAACAAAAATGGCACCTTCAAACATGTAACTTGCATTCATGTAATATTACCTCTTTCAGGTCCCTCCAAAATTCAAAGGGACCTACCCTAAATGTAAGTTACATTTAGGGGAGGTCCCCCTAAAATGGTAGGGATGAAGTGGCACTCAAAGACTGCCAGAATCATTTTGCCTGGATCCTTATGTGTTTTCCGCACTGGGGCCTTACAGGTGGTTCGATTTATCCTTGCGGCCTGGGGATTGCTTGGATTTCGGACTTGGTGCTAGTCCGATTATGGTTGCATATCGTGGCTTTATGTCACTTTGAATGCCTGCCTCTTCTGCTTGTCAAACAGTTCATTCAAGCTCTTCCAATACCCTTTCTCTGGGCACCCTTGTTGTCTAAACATCCATGTAAACATGGCCATAAACATCTCCCTGTCATGATGTCATGCGGCACAGAGATCCAACTGCCAGGAACTGCCATAGCTTCACAGAGCCTTGGCAAAATTTATGCGCGGAGAGTCTTGACATCGGGTTGTTGACACCCATCACTGCGATTTCATTTCCATGTGAGGGCTCCCCAAAGTGAATGCGCTGCAACTTTATTTCAACCTGACATGACTTGACATGTGGCATGAAAGCGCTTTGGAGGATTTTTTCTGCAAAATCTTGGGCTTTCGATCGGTTCCGAGATTTGGGCTGCCACTTGCCAGACAGAGACATGATGCAACGTTTGACTGCATTCCCTGAAGACCTTTCACTGCCCTCAAAAAAGAGAGAGAGAGTTCCAACGTGAAAGTCGCTTCAGGAGTGCCGCTCAAGAGGCTGCAAGTATGAAATGATATATACTAGTAGGATTATATAGGTATGTGTAGGTAGTGTTGTTTCACAGGATACAGATGAAAACATTGCGGCACGACCAAAGTTGATATCCCCTCGCGGATAGTGTTGGCATTGTGAAAGGGCCGCGTAGGCTAAATATGTTACGGTACTGAGGGCGAATTTTCACCTGGGGTGCAGTGCTGGAATGACCTATCCCTTAAAAAAAAATCCAGGGTATCAGCTATGGAATATTTTTTTGAATAATTTTAAAGGAATAATTTCTTCAAGGGGTAGGTATACGATGATGCATGTCGGAACCTTGAAAATCATCATCCCCCCCCCGTCAAGATACCCCGGAATAATTAGGTTTTGGAATAATGTTCTACAACTTACACCCGTGAAATCTAACAAAGCAGGATTCAGCTCTGGCACCAACTCATTAACATAGCACCCGGTGCCGTTGAGCTAATAATTTGCATTCCCCAGAAAATGGAGATCAAAACATTGCGATGGGTGCTAACATGGCACCTGAAAAAGACTGACCTAGCTAGAATCATCCTGGAAGGTAGAAATTCTATGTTAGCATCAGTTTGCTCAGAAAACATGTCCATACCCCTCACAGCACTATGAAAACTTGTTCTTGAACATGTTGTACAGCTGCTATGTTAGGTGCTCATTGCTTCCCCATAGCTCATTCCATTTGTTTGAACTGGCAAAGGTCTGGAGATGCTATGTTAAGCACATAGTTGTTCTTTTGGGATGGGTGTCCTTCCCAGTCACGCACCCCAACCCCCTGGCGTTTGTGCATTCCACCCTAGAATGCTGTTCGTTTTTGATGTGGGCCATCACTGTTGGACAGCCTCTGTTCTGTACATCTTTGGGATTGGGTAGGCCACCAAAAAAAAACACCCCACACGTTGTGAGAAGGGATGCTATGTTAGCGACATATTCTTGCCTGGCTTAACAATTCTGGGATGAGCCCTTACGGAGCCGCGGCAGATGCCAGGTTAGCATCAATCTGACCACATGAAACTGATGTCGTGCAGCTGCTATGTTAGCTGTTTGCAACAAAAAACGGAAAACTAACATATTGCTAAAAACTTTTTTTTTGCAACAAGATGGTTTTCACGAGGGTAAAACATCTTAAAACATCTTGAAACAGCCTAAATCTTCCTACATAGTGTCCTTGCTTCCACGGTACTTTGCTGCAGTAAAGCATGTTCAACCAGTGGGTTGCTGAGAGGGCATTTGTTTAAAGATATTATTTTGACTCTTCTTGATCCTATCTGATTATGCTTAAAAATGTTTAAATTTGTGCCCCAGCTCTGCAAGAAGGGAAACTTTTTTTTCGGCCGTTTGCGCGCAGCTGCTTACGATTACTTGCGTCGTTTGTCTAGAAATAGACTATACCGGTATCATTTTGATTGAGATGATTCCAAATTTCCATATACCTCAGTGAGTTCTTGGAATATTTTTTTTTGAAACTCAGGTTATGCCGGAATAATATTTTCTTATTCTGAGGTATGTTGACGGGGGTATCCCCTTAAGGCATCCATCATGTGCTGGATAGCACTGGTAATGTAAATAATTATCAGAAATTAACAGTTGGATTCGTTAGGGTTCCCTGCTGGTTGGGCATATCGGTGCCTCGCCTCAGGTTTGGCAGTGGCGATTCCTCTGTGGTGCCAGGTGCGTGTAAGATATAGTCAAAGAAAGTTTGTGAGAGAAACTTCCCCCAACATAGCATTGAGGCCTACCATGCACTCAGTTTTTTTTGGCAAAGTAATCCCTAGACAAACATCTTAGGAAAGATACTGACACCGACACCGACACCTGTTTGCCGTTGAGCGCAGCCGGAAACGCACAATGGCAATTGATCACGGCTTCATCATGACAAAATAATAACAGTGCCAGTCAATGCCAGCCAGATGAGTGCCAAAGTGTCGGTGTACGAGAACTAAAGGCAGTGGATGCTACTGGACAATCGGGAAAAAGTGTATGTGGTTGAGGCCCTGACAGAACAGAGGCGCGGTCATTGATGCGGGGTGCCCCAGATCCTCGCTTGAGTAGGTTGTATTTTGCTTTCCTGTTTGGATGGCGTGCAAAATGGAACGTGGTTTGAACATTAGAAACGAGAGAATCAACGTTTGCCAACCCTGAACCTTACAAAACCATACAAAACCGATCAAAACCGTCCCATGTCCAGAACAAATCAAACAACTTTCGGCCATGTATAACGTCTCGTCCTCAGGCCAGGCTGTGGATGCTCATCCCTCAAGGCTGGCGAGGCGAGCGGGCTCGGGTGTATGCACAGATACAATCAGATGCATGCGACAGCAAAAGCCTGGGCCTGTGCGGCCTGTGCGGCCTGTGCGGCCTGTGCGGCCTGTGCGGCCCGTGCGGCCCGTGCGGCCTGTGCCTGATGGGTGAAGCGCGCATGGGTGACTCAACATAAACACGGACTGTCTCTTTCTCTCTCTCTCTCTATTTGTTTCACATACATTCTGTATAATTATATATGTAATTATATTAGATTATTAGTATATACATAATATATATATATGCATATGTAATTAATTATATGATACATATGTCCACCCTGATCAATCAACGCGTTTAAACTTTGATACTTTCTGCGTACCTGGGAATTGCCGGCTCCAAGCATGTTACCACACTGTAACACCATCCTTTCATATGCAAGGTTATCATCATGTCGGAGAGTGAGCCGTAGAAAGCTTTCCACTTGCTGATTTTATGATCACCACGGTCATGGTCGTGATCGTTGAGGGATTGACATGAGTTGGGAGTGGAATCTGTGAAGTCTGGACATGTCTCCTCATTATCTCACGCTTTTAACCTGGCAATTGCAGCAAGGCACCAACTGTGACGTAAAAGCACCTTGCTGCACTCTCACAGCCAAACCGAAAACATCCGAAAACAATATGCCCCAACATGCTCCCACAGTGTCCAACAGATTTCACATGCTTTAGTTGGCGTGCATACGCTTGCGATATGTTGTCAGACCTGTCAGCTTTGGCACCCGCTGTGCCAGGGCCGTGGTGCAGTCAGTGACCCTTCAAAGTGGCCATGCTGATTGCAGTTGGACGGCCTGGAGTCTGCTCGACGTTCTGGCTGCAGGTCTTTGCTGGTTCTGCAAGTTTTGCATCTCCAACTGGACTTCTTCCACAAAGCAGTTAAGCATAGTTAAGCATTTCTTTGTTCTCCGGAGCTTTAAATGTTGGGGATCTTGTTCTTTGCATACTTTTGTGGAGTGGTATTTAACAATATTCAAGCGTCAGTGGCGCCTTGTATCCAGAGCATTGCTGAGGTCAGCTAGCCTATGCACACTGGGCCCGCAAGCATCTGTAGCCCAACTCTAAAAGCTCCTCTCTCGACAAGTGAATCTACAAATTAAATCAAATTAAATGAAAAGATCTGGCGACTGCTCCTGCACCCCTTGTTAAACGTCGCGATTTGCTGGCAACTGCTCACACTCTTCTTGCTCATGCTTCTTAGTGTACATTAGTGTACCACAGATTTCGTTATCACTGATGCAGGCAAAAGACTCAGTTGTCGAGAGTTTGATAGTTGAGAAAGTAAAGTTTCACCGATATTTGGAGCGAGTCAATTTGAGCTTTCGAGGCAAAGCCAGGCGTGCCACAATGGCGTTGCCATGATTCCTGCACGAAGGTGCAGATCGTAAAATGATGCCAGATGCCATCGTCATGCCTGTAGGAACAGTGCGATGTCTGGAGTAGAGGCCTTTCATGTTTTGACTGTCGGTAGAACGTGAATGGATTTATTATGATTTATATATTTGGCTGCTCATGCGCAGGCTTTGCGGCCTTTCTTCATCTCTATTATTTGCTGCACAAACTGTGGAGATGTTTAAAGCCAACCAGACCAAGTATGCAACATGACAGCCAAAGCAATGAGAAGCAAATTTTGACAGCAAAGGAGGCCAATGAAAAAAACATGAAAACATCATGCCATATTAACACCTTCGGACCAAGCTTTGGTCGGGTGTGCCCATGGCGCCGCCTGATGCTCGGAAGAACTTCGTTCAGACCCTCAAAGATGCCAGGGCCCCAGTCATAGGTCCAAAAAGATTGTGGAATGATTGGAATGGAGTCTATCGAGTTCGAGATGCTAACGAATTGTGCAAGCATATATAGACTATATATATAGTAGACATATATAAATCACAAGTATCTTATGCTGCGGCCTTGTCCTTTTTGACTTCAAGCGTCGCTGCAGTGATCAGTGCGGCTAGCCGGTTTCATAGGAAGCGGTTGCAGGCGTGGAACATTTGCACGATGAGCAATCATTAGGGGTTGTGTAGCTTTGATCATCTTTGATCTATTTTGGCATTTTGCCCTGCTTTGGTTTCTTGAACCTGTGTGTAAACTGGCTCCTTTTGGCTGGGCCACCTGCTCGCCCTCAGCCTGTGGATGGCTGGACCTTCGGGATATTTCGGGATGGCGATGGAGAGAGAGAGATCTTTTGCTTTACGGTTTCTTTAGACGCTCTCCGAAAGGAATTGTAACTCCTTCCAACCGTGCAGCGAGATTGTCCGTGCACGAAAGCTTCGATCGATACATGTTCCTTAGCCTTAGAAATTCCTCAAATATCCTGGGAGATTTATTTCATTTTATTTCTATATTTGTTTCTTTTTGTTTCTAAATTCTAAATCTGTTTCAAAGTCGGCAATCGATGCCTTGAGGTAGCTGAGAAGCACAGCTTGGAGTTTTCTGGCCTTTCACACGATTGGATCCTCCAATTGAGGGACAAGGCCCGAGATGAAGGGTTGGAGATCCGCAGATTGTGTGTTGAAGAATGACAAGATAGTTTTTCAGAAGCGTAGCTGTGTGGGTGAAAGTGTGAACACACACACACACGCACGCACGGCCATAATTTCCCTGTAATTTCATACTTATTGTCAGACATCTATTTCGCACTTTTGCTGTCACCTGCGAAGTATGAACCGCTATGTCTATATTAGCCACCGCAAAAACTCTGGCAATACTAAACATGTAAGGGTTATTGTAAAAGCACGAGGTAAGCGATGGGACCTTTCCAAATAGCGATACGCCCGATAATGATACCCCTTTGGAAGGTTGTGTCATAATAAGTGTGCATATACATTTTTTCCCTTTAAGCGATGCCTCCCAAGTTTGCCATACATATCCATACCATTTTGTGCAAACGTGTGGTAAGCGATGCGACCTGGAGTTTCCGAGATTGCTCTTATATAATGTTGAGCTAGGATTAATAAAACCCCCAAATTAATCATACCCGTTTTCACCGGAAATTTTGGGGCAATACTACGTGCTGATTTCCCCCCCTAATAACACTAAAAACCACCCCAATTAATCATACCCCTCCGGGATCCCAAAATTTTTGGTGGGACTAATTTGCTATTACTCCCTTTTACTTTTTGATTCGGGTTACAATTTCCAGGGTTACTTCCTATTTTGGTTTACCATAGGTTTTCTCATCTTTTCTCATAGGAATCTGATGGTTTATCATTGGTTTTCCAATCTTTTTCCATAGGAATCTTATAATAATCGTTTATGGATGAATGAATGGTCACATTATTTGGGGGGTTCGGTTTTTGGACCCCCTCACTGGACCTTGTTGACCTAGTTGACCTATAGGGGGGGTTATTAATCCGGGGTTAACATTATATATATATACAATTATATATATATATATATGTACACACATGCACACACACATATACTGTAATATACTGTAATATATAATGATTTATAATAACATACATATTTTTAGATTATACTAATTATACTCATAAGTTTGCATATATGTATATGATGATGTCTCATGATTTCGCCACATTTCCCCATAATTAACTACTCCAATTTGAGCCAATTTTCCCCCAGCCTGTGCTTTAAAGTTCTTGATGCTGGAGCCTCTGTATTGAGGCGAGCGGCAAGCAATGCTCCGTTTTTGGTTACACATTCGATGCAAATCCTGCCTCTTCGACTATCAGATTTGAATTCAAGTTCGGGAGATTTCGAGAGTATGTTCCGAGTCGATGCGCGAATCAGAAGTTTCCCTCACTAGGCAATGTGTTAATCTTGTTTTGAAAGTGGATTATCAGAAAAGACTGTCCTGATTGCCTCTGGACCAGAGTAAATCCATAGTGAAAATGGGTCCCAGCGGCTGGCCGCTGAAATAAGTTACCGGTAGTGTTTCACGTCTGCAACAGTTCCTGTATGGAACAAGAAAAAGCCACTCAAAAAAGAGAGTAGTAGATAGGAACAGGTACCAGATGCTAGTATATGAGCTAGTAGTATCAGGTCATATCAGGTTATCATGTTTGTCGTTCTTTGCCAAAATTTTTAGTCTCCGATGCCCTATTTGTTACTGCACGTGGCCCGAGGCGGCTGCCGTGGAAATCTGAATCTCGACGGAAATGATTTCTGTGGGATTGCACTTGCCAAATAGATCTAAATTATTCCAAATCGAGAAACTTGCCTCAGTGTGGGCGGGCCAGTTTGGACCATGCCATAGCAGACAGACCTCAGGTAAAGAGAAAGCCGCGACCTCGCTGGTTCTAAGCAGCAAGGGGGTTCCTTGGAGTGGAGGTCCTACATGATCCTATTTATGTTTTATTTTTATAGTTCTGTTTCGTTTTGTTTCAACTTTAACGATTAAATCGCCCTTTGCCAATGCTCCTAGTTTTTGATAGTTTTTGTGCATGACTGTTGAACTTGCACAAGCCATGGCTCCTCATTCGGCCACCTAGGTTCCAAACGTTCCTTGATGAGCATTGGGGATATTGGGGTGAGCATCCTGCGACAATGTCATACAGTCAATTTTGCCGTGATGTTACCACTTTCATTTGTCTTTGTTTTTTCGTGTTTTTTGTGCGCAACTTGGGATCAAGTTGGGCATTTTGCTCAATGAGGCATAGAAGGGGTGACCTGATCCTTTCAGGTGATCCAGGTGATCCTATCAGGACTTTGATCAAAATTGAACATATCTGAAGGGTTCTAATCAGTTCTGATTATATGGTTCTATTAGTTCTATTTTATATATATTTTTTTTTTGTTCAAACATATTTCATCCAGCCCCGTTTGATTTTAATTCTCCTGATCTTAGTCCAACAACAACATCTTAGGATTTTTTCGAACATAGAAATACCGAAAAACTTCGCCGTCACTGAACCGTCATCACCTGTTCTTCATCGCAGCTTCTTGCCCAAGGTGCCTCATCATGTGTTCCTCAACCCCGGCAATCCTTTCACTGCAAAGTATGTCACAAAGAATGGCATTTGGGAGCCAGCAACTGGGCTGCAAGAGGTACATGCAACATCATACAACATACTACTGGTAGGGGCTAGGTCATTGATGATGATTGCGTGGACCTCTGACAAGAGCGCCCATCCCGCCACAAGCTGAAGTTGACAATTTTGCGAGGGGCTTCCCCTTCACAATCTGATACACCTGCCAAATCACCAATGACATTTACAGTAGGTCCTTCCTGTTTCCGGCCAGCATAGACACAGCTTCCGCGCACACACACACACAATCTTCTTTCACAAGCCTTGCCATCTGGCCATTTGAGTTCATCCTACAGGTGCAAGAGGTGGTGAAGAAATATGGCTTCCCGGTGGTCATAAAACCTTTGAAAGGCTCAAGCCTCCGATGTCGACTGTGCGACATTTGTTTTGCATTGTGCGGCCCTTTGGATCCCTTTGAATCCCTTCGGATCCCTTTGGTACTTCGTATGCATAGTAGATTATAGTGCCTTGTGGCATCTGTGTGGTTCTATTGTCACCTTCCCCATGTTTTAAGACGGATGGACATCGCCTTGGCAACGTCCGCTAGGCACAGGTGGCTTGGACGTGATGAAGGCGTGTCGCAAAATCGACTTGCTGCTTGCTGATGGTCAGAATGTGCAGAATGGTTCGATGCTTGCATCCTTTTGTCCTGCTGGAATTGTCATCAAATATCGTCAAATACATTCGAATACAGGATATTTTGAGTCCGTGGTCGTATTCTGTACTGTAGTTGAGACCATCTTGGGCACAGGGGTCACTGGGGCCGGAACAGGCAACATGCTGGAGAGAAGTGGAAGCTGCAGTGCAACAGATCTTCTCGAGGTGGGGAGTTTTGCCTCTACCAAGTTTGCAGAACCATTTTGGGCTACACTTTACTTTTATGCTCCTTCCACGCTCCTTCCTAGCGTGTCGTTACTAATTAGTTTTGCTTGCTTTCATATCTCCGCTTGCTTTGATTGCTTTGCATGTGTGTCAGTGAGAAAGCGCGGTGCTCCTAAATCAAAGCAGCTCAGATTGGCAAAAAACGAAAACATGCCAATTTGAAACTCTGCATGCTCCCTACTATGTACGGCGTTTGGCAAATTTTCAACTTCAACGT